TTTTTAGTGTTTATGAGTTAAATTCTAACATAAATAGTAAAGAAAAACTACAATCAATACCTATGCTGAAACAGAGTTAACAAGGACAATTATATGAAAATATCAAAAGTACTTTTACAAAGTTTTTCCTTTTAAATGTCAAAATTAAGTGCCATGAGATTTGGAATTGCAAAATTAAAGAAAAAAAGAAATGGTATACATCAATGCAATGTTTCAAATGAACTTAATTGTGCCCTGTATGGCCACAAGATGACAAGGAATATTTTTGTTAATATTTTTGAGCACAGACTAGAATACCAGAAGTTTTAAACATATTTCTTTTCTTCCAAAACAAGCACTAAAAACTGCAAGACAAGATGAAGATTTTCTGCACAATTTTGTTTTCTTTCATTTTTGCATTTTAACACATGTAATTTCAACCATGATTTTAATTTTGCACTTTGTTTAAAATGATATTTTGGGATAACTGCAAATGTATTTTAAATTAAATCATAGATACAGTTCATCCTTAACTCTGCCTTATTGCACCTATTTCTTTTGAATTTTCTCCCCTTCTTAAATTAAAATCAAACACATGAGTGCTAAAAGATAATATTGTCATGAGCTATTTCTAATCATTCCAAAAATCACACACACATACATGTTTCATTTTATGCAAGCTTTTATGGCCCGGTTCATTAATATGCTGTGGCTCTTTTATGCTACTCTGGAGTAGTGCAAAGCAACCAGAGCATAGTGGCTGGTTCAGTTAAATTTAAAATTCCTTTGTTGAATAAAAGCAGTGCAAAGCAGTTGGGAGGCACAGCCCAGTTTCCTTCTGTCTCTTGCTTCTCCTTCACTCTTCTGAACACTCTAATTTGTTTCCACTGCCTCCTGCATCTTCTGTATTCCACTCTACAGAAACACATCTCTCCTGTCCCCTGCAAACTCCAAGTACACACACAGACATATGTGCATGTACAACACAGACCTGAGCCTCTTTCTGCTGCCTGCTTTACTGAGCACATCTGGTGTAATGTGGAGCTTATGAAAATAATTATTTGAACATTACTAGTCAACCATTGCTCTTATTTTTTTTCTAGAACTGTTGGCAGAAGAGAGTGGATTACATCCTCATAAACTCGAGTGTAAAATCATCCTCTTAGAAAACAGCCACCATCTCCTTTGGCTTTCAAAGAGATTAAAGCAAATTTAACCTGAATAGGTGGAAGTAAATGATGAAACAAATCCTCTAGAGGGATACTTCAGAGCTTAAAAATAATGGAAAAGAGATGTGCATTTTTGTTATCTTAGGAGAAAAGAAGAGATGCTTGTCCTTTAGAAAAAATGCCATTATTTCAAGGATTTTTGTAGCTAGGTCAATTCTTTAACTATGGTAAACATCAAACAACACTTTTCTGGCAAAATTAAATGGCATAGTGATTTGATTACTGCAATTATTTTCTATTCTACAGAAACTTCTCTACCCTACATTTTCTACTACCTCCTTGTAGTCAACACAAGCAAACTTATTTTCTTAGAAATAAGAAAGAAATGAAAACATCTTTTATAAATGAATAAGCAGTCTTCACCATCAAATTTGCTACAGCCACTTAAATCTGATTTTTCAATAGAAAGAGTCAGTTCAAAAATATAAGCAACTTTTCACGTAACACTGAAATCAAAATGGCAGACACAAACCAGCACTGTAATTTTTCCTGTTTCCCACTACAGTCCCAGAGCAGCCACTCACTCAGCATGCCTTTGAAGTAATTACTCTGTGTTCAAATTTTTCTGCATTTTCACATATGTAAGTTGTTTTTCCCTGAAGAAATAGAAATATTTTCTCAAACAGTTTGGAGGAAGAGTGCAGTGGACTGTTATTCCGTCCTAAAAAGATTTACATAAAATAGATTTATCTAGTTATTTATGCAGTGGGAAATAATTAGTATTCTGCTACCTGCATGTTTATACATGTATGTGTAAATGCTTCTACAAATATATTCTGACCTAAAAGCAACATACCTGATATCAAGTATACCATCATATATATTACCTGGTTATGAGCTGAACTATAGAGACAAAAAAAAAGCCTTGGTCTCATTTTCTGTGGACATTATCATTCAGAAGGATCTCTGCTGTGAAATTTGACAGTCAATCAAGTAATAACGAGCTACCTAGTGTCAAAGCTGGTGACACTTCAAATCTGTGCTTGGTGCAATTCTAGGATGAAATTAGGGCTCTGCTGGTGAGAAAGTGAAAGCTATGTGCACCCCTGGGGAGTTTTAGATTATTTTAATGAAAAGTTCTCAGTTCCTAAGAACTCAAAGGATTAAGGTCTGGAGCCAGCCAGTAAGCAGGAAGCCTTGGCTTCTCTCCAAACAGACTCCACCCATCTGCAAACTCACACCTTGGTTATCCTGGAGAGGACCTTCTCCAGTATCCACTCCTGCCTTCACTAGAGAACAAATACTGCCCAACCCCTGTCTACTGGCAGGTATAAAGAGAAAAATCTCTCCACTTTTCCCTTATTTTTCTCTTAAGATTGAAGATGTTCAAAATTTTCTCCACACCGTAATTTGGACCTTCTGTGTCCAAACCTTCTTTGCCTGCCTACAAAAGCATGTAATCTAACATAAAAAACCAAATCAAATTTTTCTCTCCCTGAAATTCACTTATTTTCTTAAAAACTGACTTGTTGTAGACAGAAACTCGAGAACAACAGCTGATCTGTTGGGAAAGCATGGCAATTCTTCTACTGATTTTCTGGACTTTTCTGGACTCTCGCCAGTCTGCTGTCCCACAATTCTGTTCCAGCCAAGCTGAGAACTTCGGCTACATCACGTGTGACATTTTGGATAATAGCAAGGATGGATTCTGGCCCATGGATAAGGTGTCTCTAATAGGAGCTATAAATTTACCTACCACTCAGACCAGATCTACAGAAACAGCTACCTGGTCTATCCTAAGTAACTCACAAATTTTTGTATCCACCCAAGTTCCATGCTGTTTGCCCCATTCAAAACTGTCATACCAATCATACTAAATCCATGTCAGCAAGACCTACAGAGGGCACAAAGACTGTGATCAGGTCAAAAGGGGCTGAGAGTGTGGGGAAACATTTCCTGTTGTTGCTTGGAGAAAAACATTCACATTCATTACAACATTAATCACAAAGTTAAATGGATGCATTTAAAATAGCGACATTAAATTTTCCACCATCAGCAATTTTTCAAAAGGAGATTCTAAACTTAAATTTGAATTTATTTGCCTTAAAAAATACAGTAAAGTTTATGCCTGCATATGATTAGTCAGAGTGTAGTAAGTTACATGAATTTTATTTTCCTGAAAAATGCTGCTTTGCTCAGGAATGGAGAGTGAAATTCCCTCTAACCCTGAGTAGTGTAATAGGCATAGCAGCAATACTAGCTGCTCCAAGCAATTTACCAGTGTGCCTTAAAATAGAACTGTGAAGTACATATTTGTAAATGCACTATTAAGCCCAGGTACTTGTCATCAGGATAGCAGGGGTACCAATTATGGTTACAGTCTCAGTATGTGAGTCCTCTGTTGAATAAACTGGGACCACCATTCTCTGCATCATTAGATGGCCAAATTACCTGTATCATTAGTGGGATTGTTTGGATCCAAACCAAGAATGCTGGGGTGCAAATACCAGATATATAAGTATAGACATTATTACCAGTGATTTGAACCATCCAGTTCCTTAATTTATGAAAAAATCTCATGGAAGCATAGGAAATATCTTGAGGCACTACTGAGTACAGAAAATTTGGAGCCCACCACTTACCATTTGTTTAGACTCTTTTTAAATAGAGACAAATATAAATAAAATAATAACTTTTTCCACAATAACAGTGGGATATCATGAATGTATAAGGCTATGTCTCTGACTAGGGCTTAGACCCTGATTTCAGGTGTGTTGTTTATTAGAAACTATGCATATTATTTCATGGGCTGCACAGAAGTTCTTTGGAAAAAACCCAAAACAGACACACACACAAAAACCCCAACAAGCCAAGCATTTTGTGGGGTTTTGTGGTGTATTTTCAATACAGTATAGTCAAAAACTGTATAAGGTAATTGCACTACTTCAGACTAAATGTCTTGAAAGAGATTTGAGATACACATTGGTTTTCTCATTGACTTTGTTGCATATCATTCTCCTTTAAATGAAACTGCTTCTCAGAGGTGTAGCATCTGTCCAAATGTGAAAGATGAACCCTTCACCTTCCCTAAACTTCACGAAACCTTTCCACTGGATTGCTTTACAGTGAAAGGAAATGGTGTATGTAATATAGGACACTGAAACTGTAAAAGATAGTGGTTTGGACTGTTCTTATCTCCTCTGCTCCCATGAAAATAAGACTTAATAGATTATGAAGCATCACCTATGAAGGAATTAAATTTCATTTATGAATGCACTATTGAGAATGTTCATGATGAGTGAGAAATGAGAAATACAGCATGCAACATTTCCTATCATTCTTATTGCAGTATGCCAAAATAATTTAATTTTAATTAAGTAACACTTCACTGCAATTCGTTGAAAAAAACCTGATGGTCATGATAATGAGTCTTTTAAGAGAATGAAGAACACTGGATTTGGACCATACTTCATAATGCTTTCTGTCTGCTCTACTGGCATATAACTGCAATTAATAAACAGTAATTTTCTTCTACCTGGTATAAGCACTTACATTTAAATTTTAAAGGCAGAGAAGTAAACAAGCTCAAAATAATTTTACCAGCATGGTATAATAATGAAAACACAAGTGACCAATTAAATAATTAGAATTATTTTTTTTTTGTGGACTCTGCATGGATGATCACAATGATTAAATTACCCATTTTATAACTTATTAAACTCTCATATACCAGGATTCCAGGATTAATTTAGTTACACCATGGATGATTCTCCTGACATTCAATATTACATTAGCTCTTATTCGTGTCCTTTTGTTCTACAAACTGTTTTCAAAACTCAAAATGGTACCAACCTGAATGCTGTGAGATACTCAACATCACCCATAGGAGGATCCAAACCACCTGTCCAAGCAATATTTATGTTATACCCTTCGCCAGGGCCACTTCCAACCTGAAAAATAGAAATTAAATGCCAAAAAGAGAGAAAAAGAGACAAAAGGAGAAGGAAAAAAGAGAGGGAAAGGGGAGAAGAAAAAATTTCTTAAATGTGCTTTAGAAACAAACATCAAACAACATGTCAGATCAGCCTTGTTTGACAAGGACTGCTCTGGGTTATGCACTTGTTCTCCACTGGTCCCTGCTCCCAGTGGACAATTTGGTAATCTGGTGTAATTTAAAGAACCAGAGAAGGACAAGAAAATTAGGGGTAATCATGCAACGCAATTACCTGAAAGATACAAATAAAAATGGGGCTCTAAAGAAATAAACCTAACCTCATTTGGGGCTCCACTGCCGGGGAAGAAGTTGCCTTCATCATAGCGATGGAGGGAAACATACAGGATGCTGGGGTCAGCATAAAAAGCCTGCTGTGTACCGTTGCCATGGTGAACATCCTAAAGGAGAAAGAAAACAGATGACAAATGTAATAATGTCCAACTCAGTGTAGAGAGCTCAGTTCTGCTTTCTTTTACCCGCCTCCTCTCTCTCTCTCTCTCTCTCTCAGTTTCTCTCCCTCTCCCTTGCCCTCCTTTTGTCTTTCCCTTTCCCCCTCCCTTCACCACCCCATACTTCCTGAACTTTCAGGCAAATTACTCTTTAATGCACTCATTTTTTAAACTGGCTTCTAAAAATCAGGAAACCATAGCGAGCGTGCCCTGGAGACTCCAGATGAGCAGTCATTGAGAAATCCCAGTCCTTTTGTACAATTAGATATTTATACACCGGCTCTTTGTACTCCTTGCCTCAGTGATGGAATCTAGCATCCTGTTTTATGGAGGAATTTTATGACTTATTAACTGCCAACAGTTCATAACCCCTCAGGCTTAATTAACTAGCCTCATTGGCCTCTGAAGAAAGACTAATGTTTAAACTACAAACTAGTATTTTGCAGAAGGATCTATGGTTTACAGAGCTTTTTCACAATTCTTGACAGAACACTAAACATAAGAGTATTCATTGATTTGCCAAGTTCCACTATTGAGGTCAAAGGCTCTGCGACCAGCTGAGTAAATTGGCTTTCTTGAAACATTCAGTTCAGTTCAGTCCCTCAGCAGTTAGATCCACATCAAAAGACATGCCAGATGCAGAAAGGACTTCATACTTCATTTTAGCAAAATCATGACGGCAACAGTTGAAGACATAGGAATATGATCTCATTAGCTATTAAATCATCTGGCAGATAGGACGGTGCCTTCCACAATCAAGGAGTGACCTTGGCCAGTCTCCATATTTCAAACATTATATAATGACAGTGAATAAAATTCTGTCATTAAATAAAATGCTGACAAAGAAATGCTGACAGTATATCTATATAACAAAGGCTGATGATGTAGACATTTCCCTATTTTTTAGTTTGTTTTCACAGTTCACTACTATTCTATGTGGTTAAAGAATTTTTCAAGTGAAAACGGGAAATCCACTTGCCTTTCAGCAATAGAAAAGTAAAAAAAAAAAACCAAAAAAACCAAAAATGCTTCTTCACTGGCATTTCTAAGAAGCTGAAAAGTTATAGGTATTATTTATTTTCCTCCTTTAAGCCATCCCTTTGAAATTTCTGATTTAGAGAATTAAGGGAGACAGACAAAGTATGCTGAATGGCAACGCTGTCACTGTCACCCAGTCTGTATTTATTCTACAAATGTTATGAGGTTTAAATCCAATTTAGTGTCCAGGAAACAGAAGTTACATTCTCCTCACCATACCTAGACTCCAGGAAGGCTCAGCTTGTACCTCAATGTGTGTACTGCCAATGGCACAGCAAGCACTGAACATTGCTTCTCCTCCTTGCCAGCTGAAGCAGCCCATGAGTTTCACCCCCATTGTTCAGAACTCTCTACATTGAGTCCTACTTGTACTGCATTGTGCTTGACTTTGACCTCCTCTGGGACCTCTGTAGGGTAGTATTATAAGAGTTTCGTTTTTTTTCTGTGTTGAAAGTACTTGAAACAACATGAGGATGGAGTTACAGCCCAACTGTGAGTTAACGCAAAGGTTAAATGTAACACATGAGATGTGCAAAGGAGAGCACACTGGTATGAGTCTGTTGAACATTTCAAGGCAGCCAGTGTAGTGTTAGATGGTTCTGACTGGCAAATGAAGTAAAATCTGGCATGCAGACTAATCCAAGAATCCCATTCAGTCTTCAGCTGTGACAGAATTAATTGGTTTACTCCAAAATAGACTCAAATCCTGCTAGCATAAATGCAAGTATGGATGATCCTGGAATGAGGATTTCAACAACCTGACAAGCTATGCTAGGCACATAGATAGATCTGCAGGGACACAGTAGGACTTTACTTTTGTTATTTTAAATAGTCTTTCTTTTCCATATGTATTTGGGGCTTTAGATATATTCTTGCTGTAACAGTTTCCAAAAGGGAAGGAAAAATGTTAAAGGGGCATAGAGACCTTTTTTTCTTATTATTTTTTTTTTAATTATTCAGATCTTAAAGCTAGCTTTCTTATCTAAACTCTCCACTAAGAGCTCTTTTTTGAAGAGCATTAACTTCTCTGATTAGACAAAGGAATGTGTTTTTTAAGACTGCGGATGTTAGCAAGTGGGAAATGAGTTCATATACTGCCCTTAGTAGATCAAATGTATTCAGGGTCTAAAGTCAGTTCAAAATCAGAGATAAATGGTGGAATGAGGAAAAAATCCTGTCAGATAGGTCTTTTATTTAACTGTAGAAATAGATGAAGGGAAGATTGAAAATTAAAAAGTTAAGAATTTATATATGAAGACATGTAGCAGCTATGAAGACTACACTTAATTTGTAACTAGAGTACACTTTAGTGTGTGGGATTGGATATTACTGTTTAATATTTATATTGCAGTAACATGTATAGCTGGCAACTTGCATGGGGTCCTGCTGTGCTCGTCACTATCAAAATATAGTCTTAAAGGTTAATTTCAAGTCTAACATCTGTAATTCCATTCTTTCCTTCAGATGCCCCAAACTCTGTTGTTGGGAATAAAGACATCACTATTAACTTGTTCATTCATTCAGTTTGGCCTGTGATTTATCCATAGTTTGCATGCACAAGAAATTTTCCATATGACTTTTTGTACATCATTGCTCTAACCATGTAGTCTACCCTAGCAGACTAGGGACTGGACTGCAATTGCTCCAGGAATGAAGTCATCTGTGTCAGCTATAGATTTCTTCCTTTTCACCCGCTGAGTTATTCTGACCAATGGGACAGTTGCAGAAGGGCTGAAAATTCCCTATCTACTTTCCTGGGTAAAGATAGGCAGCTTCAAAGGTAACTATTTGCACAGGTAATGATTTGCACATTTAACCTTGCCTTGAAAAACTGAAGCTGAATTTCTAAGTGCTTATTGGCTTATGCCAAAGGGAAGTGTTTTCTTTTCCCAATGAGGCAAATGTAGCATTTACAGGCAAAAAGACTTAAAAAATATTCACAAACTTTGAGCAGACTTTTCCTATTAAAAAATGAGAATAAACAGAGTTTATTCTTTTGGCCAGAATTTACAGCAATAAACTGAAAGATTCAAGTCAGCAAACAGACATAACATACAGTAGAAGTGAATTTTTCAGAAATAATATTTTGTGGCAGTTTATTATTATGTTTCTAAATGACAGTAGAACGATCTCAGAAATATCTGAAAAACATTCTAAGAATATTTAATCTACACATATACTTATTCTGCCACTCATTTTTTACTTACCATTCCTTCTCCCACACTCCCCCTTTCTCTGCTTCTCTTCAACAGTCAGTACGCATGTTTAACTGAACAAAAGTGCTAGATGGTAAGGCCATGACTCCACAATAAGATTTAATTATGAGTGCAGATATGAACAAGATTTAGACTATTAAGCCCTGCACTTCAAAAACCCTTTAACATATTTTGTCTTTAAATCTTTTATCACCTGCAAAAATTAATTAAGTGCAGATGTAACAGGTTAGGTTTTGATGCCAGGGTTCATTTCCTGTCTATGCTTTGTCAGACACCCTATTACACCTCGTCATGAACTGTAGGAAAACAAAAATGGTGCTCATAAATCAGCATTCGACTTTCCTTGGGCTGTGCATTGGGCTGATCCTTAAAGTGCAAGGCAGAGCTCCAATTCATTATTCATGAAAATAATACAGCCAACATGCCAAATGTCATCTGCATTTAAATAATCCATTTGTTAAATGTATTAAGTATTGTGTAAGAATGCCTTCTATTAAAATACAAGACTAATCCAATGAAGTGGATTTTTAATCACATAGCTTTCCTTCGGGGAACCACCAAAACCTGGTGAATATATGACTAGAAAACTTATGGGGAATGACCTGTCGATTTGTTTAATAATATCAAAGTTACACAAGTCAAATCATTGTGAACTGGGGAAAGTGGTCCATTTTGTTACCAATGCAACAACATTCTTTAAAGAGTATCTGACTACTTAAAGTTTCTAGTCTGCAGGGAAAAGTAAACTTGGGTTCTGTAGGGTTATTTTAACAGTGGAAGTATCAATTCATTTAAGGACCATAAAAGTTGCCCTGATCTGTGCCTTCTTCTCATTAAATTGCAGTTAACACCATTAAAGTGAAACATAGATGTTTATAGCTTCAGTACTGCCATCCTGGCTTTAATGAGTTCCCAAAATCAGAGGAAATGCACACCTTTATTACTTGTAGGTATTAAAAGCAGGAAAGTCTGACTTATAAATACAAATTCATTATCTTTCATGTAGATGCACTGTGAGTGTGGTGCTTGCCAAGAATACATACCAGATCTACAATCAATATCTTGCCTATATTTAGCTTGTCTCTCAAGTATTTGGCAGTAATTGCAATCGAATTAAAAAAGCAGAACCCCCTGTGGAATAGAGAAGAACAGAAATAAGAAAGCAAATCAGTCAGGAAAACAGCTATAAATAATGTTCAGAGCATTTTAAAAAATGCTATATGATCTCTGAGGCCATAAATCTGCTTCTGGGAGTACCTAGAAAGCCTTTTCAGTCATCTGCTAACAATTACAGTTCTTTAGAGACATGCACAATGCAGGTGATTGCCAGTAACCTTAGTGCTCCAAGATGGGCAATATTCCCTGGTACTTACATGGCTGTTGATTCTTCAGCATGATGGCCTGGGGGCCTTACAACAGCAAAGCCATTCTGTAAGAACAAGATAGGTTTTCAATTATCAGCTTAAAAAAATACTTGACTCAGAGCAAAACAGAGCAGCAGGCAGATGGGATTGAAATCTATTAGAGCCTCTTGAGCACTTTTTCTATCCAATCACCCTTTCATAGTACTGCCAGAAATAACACAGTTGAGAACAGTGGCAAATAAACTTATATAAATTCACACATGCGCATACATACACACACAACATGATCTAAAAAGGAGGAAAAAGGCAGGATGAGAAAACCCTGATATGAATTCTACTGTTTATAATTCACATTTAAAATGAAGATCTAAGATCACATAATCTAAATTTCCTTCAGCTTGAGATGCTTCAAAATAGAAGTTGCTTAAGGTATGTATTTTACATGATTAGCCATTGTTGACCTTACCTCTGTATAGACTAAATGATAAATTCAGACCTCCACACACACATAATTTCTAACAGTAGAAAAAGGATGACAATGAACGTCCCATATTTCTGCTAACCATAAATTACACTTGGGAACTTGCCATGCTTGCAAGTTAATAGATTCCCTGAAGTCAATTTCTAACACACTTTCTGGAACTGCATATACATTTCACAAAGTACAGCACTAGGATCAGTGATGATCAAGGAATTTTTTTGCCTCTGGAGTCACTGAAGATAAAAGAAAAATGGAATTTCCATCCATCCAGTGGGGGTATGGTAAAGGGAAAATGTAGAAGTGCTGGCAAGGTAGCTCTATTCAACCCAAGATGGTCCTTCTATTCAGCTATATCTATGCCATCAAACTAATGACAATTACCATATATATAAAAATAAGAAATTATAATCTGTACATGAGATATCCGCCCAATTTGTATTTTCACACAGCCTCACACCATCACTGGGTGTGTATGTATGCCTGCATGACCAATCAAGCATTGTATTTTCAGAGAGGAGGAGATAGGAAGAAAAAGGTTGGAAGACTTCTGTATTTTAATAATCAATATTAAACTATTCCAGTTTGATATACTAAAATTTGATAAATGTAAATGTTTCAGTCTTCTCTTACCTGAAAAAAACATAACAATCATTTCATAACATAACAATTTCACTCACTTTGGTGTAAATACAGAGGAGCATAGAGGTTAATAGTTACATTAAGGTTTTACACAGGTTCTTGTGAAATCTGTGATTTCTGTTTATTTACAATCAAGATGAATGTGTGGTTTGTGTGTACCTGTGTAATTGTCTACCTAAGTTGCTTCACTGGCACTTATTTATAAATAAATACTACCATGCTGTCTTATTTAATTTGCTTCTAGATGTGATCCAAGCAGACAGCTGCAAAGTTTTGTGGAGAATGGCCAAAGTTCTATCAGAGTATAGTAAACTTAATTACAATACCAGGGGAGTGCATGTGTAACAGTGGTTCTTCTGGCCACCATTTAAAGAATCTGAGGGATTCGACATAATGACTTACTTTGCATTAAGTGTCCACGTTAAAAAAACAAACCCAAACAAACAAAATACAACAATCCAATAGTTAAAGGCACAAAATTTATATATGTTTATATTCATGCAGGCATTCCTGGAGATGGGATATAAAAAAAATGCATTGTGGACCGCAATGATTTATAGAACTAAACCAGCTTTAGACTCTCAGCTAAAACTGTATTCTCTGTCCTTCTGAGGTTCTTTTAACATTCCCTTCTCACGCAAAATATGACTTAGAGAAGAATTCGGCATATAACTCTTTTGTAGAATTTATGAAAAAACAAAGTATATTTATACTGATGAGTGTCAGGATAATGAAGTGGAAAAAGACCCAGCAAAGAAGGTATTATTAGAGAAAGAGCATGATGCTACCTGTATTTTGTTCTCTCGATATTTTTAGGCATTTGGGAAAAGTCCATGAAAGGCTTACAGCTGCCCCTGCTCAGCTAACAGCTCATTATCATCTAACTTTATCAGTATTCCCAAAAGATCAATATAATTAAGATGATTATCTCTAGGAGGATTTCATGGGGCAATATAGAGACAGAAAATATCAGCACTGCTGTTTTTGACAATATAGCCCTGTTTTATAGCATATAGGTAATTTCTGAAATCAGAGCTTAACTATTACAGTTCTCCACTAGCATGCAGGATATCCACAAAAGGGTCATGACCACTTTTTATGAGTTTTTACATCACAAAAAGTTCAGTATTCACATGGGATTTTTTTTTTTAAATATACTGTGCATATGTTACAGTGATGATAAAATATATAGTTGAATTATACCAAACACTGATAAATAGTTACCATGCAGAATTATTGCCAACTTTTGTGCAATTGATAAAACACTTAATTTCTTCTACTTTCAAACTTTGCATGAACACAGTATACATTAGTACAATGGAATATGATTTTTTTTGACTTAGGCAATTTTAAATACCAGCAAGTGAGCACAGTAGAATAGTAGACAGAAAGACAAAAATCTGCTTTAAAGATAGAAAGACTAACAGAGCAATATGTTGAAAATGAAGCCAACACACATAAATTCAAAGTGTTTTTGTACAGAGCCTTATTTATATTAGGATACAGACACCTCTGTAAAGTAGGCAGAACATGAAACTGGCTGAAAGACATGAACATTAGAAAAACAATTCATGCCTGTGCCATTATGTGATTACCTTTATTTAAATTTGAGGATTAAGAAGAAAGCCTGAATAGAGATATTCTAAAATCTGTGCATATTTGAACAACAAAGGCAACGAAGTCTGCCCAGGCTCAGTTTACACAGAAGATTGACTGCAGATAAACCCGCTGAGTTAGACCTTTAACGAAAACTAAGAAAATTGTTAGTCTTCTTCCGCAGTCAGCTAAGTATTCTGTTCTTTTGTGACTCTAAATAGGTAGATGGATGCTTGATTTCCAAGAAACAGAGGTGTACATCCTACTGTGGCCTTGTCTTTGGTGGTCAAGTTAATCCCGTTCTGTAGTGTTCTGGGTCACAATGTTGGTCTACGTTGTGCCTGGGCACCTACTGTGCCTCCCCATGAACCTCTCCATGACAAGCACTCAAGACAATACCATAGCATGGGTGGACAACCCAGGGCTTAGAACTGACCATCTATTGCAGAGTTCCACTGGTGCTTCTGTTACATTACCTCCATACAGGAGGTAAAATTAGACACAGACAATGTTTCTCGAGGGCAATATGTGGTCATTGTGGCAAGGTGTGAACGATTCTTCCATTCACATGAAAGTGAGAAGCTTGTTCTGCCCAGATTCCAAGTGAACCAAGAGTTACCTGGCTAGTCAGGAAGTCCTGGTATGGTGAGAATCCTCACTGAGAAGTAGTGCCTACTAGTTTCAGCCTGGTACTACCCTAGTAAAATCATCTGGCTTTTTGTAAACTTCGAGAAAAGCCAGTGCCAAGAAAAAAGTAGCAATAAACCACAGCAGTTACTCCAAGAGCACTTGTTGAAGCAGTAGAAGACTAAGGTGCAATTTCTTAAACACAGGGATGAATTTTTAAATTTGTTTCCCACACCACTTTGTGTATTTAGATTATGTGGGCCATAAAATAGATATTGTGACACATCTTTTCAGTATAAGTTTTCTGGCAATAGGTCTGGAGTCATGCTCTTCCTCAGCTTTTATTCAAACACAAAAATTGTTAATTATTATTAGAAATTGAAGGTCTTCTTGAATTTTAAGCTGTAAACCCCTGTATGAATGAGCAAAGACATTATTCAAGAGGAAATAGGTACTGAAAGAGCAGAGGCTTCATATGAAAAAATCCTTTTACTGTGTGGGTGAGCAAGCAATACAACTGCTTACCCAGAGAAGCTGTAGAGTTTCCATTCCTGGAGATATGGAAAAGCCACCTGGATATACACCTAGACAACTGGGCTAGTTAGCTTTAGGCACCTCTAATTGGGCAATGGAGGTGGATTCAATGATCTCCTGAGGCCACCTCCAACCTCACCTGTTCTGTGTATTTCAGATGGAGAATCTGAATTCCACACTCAAAGCTCAGCTTGTTCCTAAGGTTAGGAAGCTTTTAATTTCTACTTGTCTAAATCCCTTAACCTATCTCACCGTTAACTCTTAAAATTACCGGTGCTTAAACAAGGCAGTCTTGGACACTTGCTACACTTGCTTTTAATGGAAAGTTTCTATTTTTGCTTCAATATGCACACATTGAAGAATGAGAATTATGCAGAAATGTATCAGTTTGTCCTGTCAGAACTTATATTCCCAGATATTTATATATATATATATATACACTTGTATCCTTATAAAGTAATATAAAAAACAATTTCTTTATATTTAAAAGGTGGTCCATAGAGTGTAGCTGACAGGTCTCATCCTCTCATCCCTAAAGTGTCCTTAGTGCCATCTTTAACTCTGCTGTCTCTGGTGCAGTCATGTCCTACAATAACAAGCATCAGGGCTGCTTTAAGTCTTGGCTGCCTACAAGAATCTGCTTGCAACTGATACCACGAAAAAGATAACCATATTCTTACCAGTGCCACTTATGCTGTAACATAATCCCAAGCTATGCCATCCATCAGGAAGGGTAAGCATGACAATGAGTGGTGTAAGGCTAAGGCAACCCTTGGGCACCTGTTTAGGGCAATTTTACAAGCTACTCATACAGCCAGAGCAGGAGCTAGCACTTGGCCTGGAGGGTCTACGAATGCAGTGAACAAGAATAATTTAACAGAGCAGTATAATTAGCATGTAGATTTGCCAAGAAAACAGTAATGGACATGAGGGAATACTGTTTTGTCTTGCAGAGGAAGCTAGTAGAGGCCAAATACACAGAAATGGACATTAAACACTTAATTTTGAAGAAAACAAAGAGTTCCCTGTCTGCTTTCCTGAAGGCCTAAGTGGATAGCATAAGAAAACATACATGAAAAGTTGATGGTTGCAGACTAGCTGAGGTACAACCATGATGGCCTGTTTAGCCACAACTAGTGTTAACTATATTTGGAAAGAAAGACAAAAGAGTTTTAGTACAGAGTGGTCATGGAGGTAAGCAGTGTACCACACATATAATTAAAGTTGTCTTATTATATGAAGTAATAACAGTTATTCAGCTATAAATATAACCACAATTGCATATCTAAGAGACAGTTTAATATGAGATTTTGAAATTTTTCTAACTTTGTAAAAGCAAAGAATATAAACTACTACCTAAAAGATTTCATTGGTAACTTTGATTGAAGGCTTTTATCAATCATATCTTTAACAGTAGTAAAATAAGTACTTTTAAAATAAGTACTAAAATAAATTTGTTACCATTTCTTACACACATACATTGCTCAAAATGCTGTGGCTGGGTATGGAAAAAATGCCTCTTTTTTGTGGCTATCACTCATCACTTGGAAATTTATTTTAAGCAAAGGGAGATTTTTATAGGGCAGACGGTGAGAAACTAGAAGCAATGGTAGGGAAGAACTTGCAGGAGAAATACTTTCCAGGGGCACCTGTACACAGAGTACATTCCAGGAGAGACTTTTATAGGCAACCAGAGGAGCCTTGTGGGGTCTTGTGTTGTTCAGGCAGCCATGGAAATTTGCTAGCCTAAAGCTTTACCAGAAGAAGGACACTATGGGACTAGGGAGACATTTGTTTTCTCTTCTTTTTGCTTATTTTGTCTTTATGACAATAAATGATAATTTATTTTATATTTTTGTTGCAAGAAAACCTAAAGCTGTGAAATATGGCTGAAAGATTTTTATCCAGAATACTTTTCAAACTAGAAAACTAAGAACTTGAGGGGAAGAGGAGGTTGATTAAGCTAATTCTGTTTATTCCCTAGATCAGTACTACTTATCACATGATGATTCCTCCATAGGAGTGTCCTGTGTGACAAAGACCTTGAGAACAGTAAAAACCAAGCTCATTTGGAATGAGAGTTTCAAGTTCAATTTAAGTCACCTATGGATTGTACAAAGACACCAGAGTAGCAACAACCAAATTCAGGAAGTTTACTTTGGTATTGATTCAACCTGACATATCAGAAAGAACAATCCCAGGAACGTATCAGATTCTGGTTCAGGGGCAATTCATTTCAATTGCTTTCATTCTGTTAATTGACCCTTAGCTACCAACAGGGCAACTTTACACGTGTGTTTGTGTGTGTGCGCGTGTGCACGCACACAGATGGTAAGGCAGAAAAAAGGCTTTTGCTTCACTTGATTCAGCTGAAGGGGATATTCAAGACAGTCTCAGACCGTGTTTCTAACTTATGTGCCCTTCTTCTTGAGTGTTCTTTTGAAATATTGCTTAATTCACTCAAACCTTTTTTCTCTTTTTTTTTTTTTTTTTTTTTTAAAGCAGGGAATAATCATACAAAACCTACCAACTCTTGATGGTTTTTTTGTAGGTCTTGTCTGTTTCAAGTTTTCCAAATTAAAAATATATGGCACTACATGTTTCTATCACAGAAAACAGTGCTACTTTACACAGTTAAAAGATATGCAAAGTAAACTAGACAGTGATCCCTATTATAGGTTCTGTATTTAAAATATTTAATCCTACCTTATAATAGTACTGAAGGGGTCATCTGAGGCTGGACAAAAATGTTTCAGCACTGTTCCTTTGCATTTTCAACAGTTACATGGGCTGCTCTGGCAGTGAGTTATCTATGATGATGGAAAGTCATCTCCCATTGGGAGAAATGACTCCCATCTCTCCTTTGGTAACCTCTCCCAGTAAGTGGTTTTTATTAATTATACTCTTTTTAAATTATTTTTTTCACCTGCATAATTTTTATTCCTGCCAGTCAATTTAAAGATATTGAGGGACAAACAGTAATGTACAACTTGTTATCAGAAAATAAATTAGGACACATTTAATGTTCACAAAACAACACACAATAAAACAACTATTACAAGAACAAATAACATTTTGGAGGACATTATTCAACAAAGTATCACTATTAGAAAATTATCATACTAAATTAACTGAACTGAACTCCAGCTTTTCAAATTTAGTATTAACCATTTCATAAAAAAATGTATGGCAACAAAACAGGTGGCAGCATCAGCATGAATAATTTGGTTAACAAAATGAAAATATCAGCAACATAAACTTTTTCAGGAAAAATAAAAACAACAAGCTAAGTCCTAAATATAAGATTCTTAGCAAGTTCTAACAGTCACAAATGAAATCTGAATTTCAGAAGACCATAGATGCAGAAACTCTCCTTATTTTTCTTCAAGACTTGTTTGGGGTTTGTACAACCTCTGTACTTGTCCAATTGGGCAGCAGGAGGGATGTGCCTGCTGTTAGGACAGATGCAGAGGCAAGGGAAGAGTCTCCTGGTGCACAGCTGCCTGGGAGTGAAGTAGCTCGACAGCAGGAGGGGAGGTGAACCGAGCTGAGCATCACAATGAATGCAAGGGAAGCACTAGGCAATAAATGAGAAGTGAGGGCAAGACAGCACCTTAGAGTGTAACATCCTGTGGTTATGAAAGAGAGCAATGAGAGCCTTAGGAAACAGGAAAGAAATGCTCTCTCTTTGCATCTTTTTGGGCCCTCTTTCTGAAGGCCATTAAGTAGAGACAATGATTTCCAGGTTCCTGAGCTACATTGCATGCAAGAAATCATATGCTGGGCACTACCTCTATTTCTTCCAAAAGCACAATGGAATATATCATAGGACTTCTCTTATCTGATAAAATTATTCTTTGGGTATAGCTAAGGACTGTGTTGGAATTCTATTCACCCAAATCCTCATACTCCCCTCTTCTAAAAACCTGTAGTCAGGCAGCAGACTGTTAGAAGCTTTCTATATAAACCTGTTCAGGGAATGAGAAATGACCAAATGTACATACATAAAAACACACAGACAGGAGAGGTGTGGATCTGATTCTACATAACATAAATACATCATTGTGCATCAGCACCTTTCCTAATTATAAACAGCTCAAAAAAAGGTAACCTTCATGCAATAATTAGGCTCATCTCCTACTGCAGTATTGCCAAGAACACATTCATCAGACATGTAAATAAATTAATGAAAAAAGGAAAAGCATAATTTTTGACTCAGTATAACATCACATTTACAGTACTATATATTTCAATGGTGTGATTCTTTAATCTCTATTAAATACTACCTCAAAAGTGTATCAAAAGTACATTAATGACTGTTCATTATATTAAGCAGACCCAAAGAATGCTTAATTTTAACAGTTGTACATAATTAAAGAAAATACATCTAGATTAAGACTCCTCAGAGAAGCGACAATTTGTCCTAAATAAAATAAAGTAAAATAAAATAAACCATACAAAAAACAACAAAAAAAACTCCCCAAAAACAACCAATAAACCCAAACACCTCCCCCACAAAACGCCACACCAACCTCCCTCCCCAAAAAAAAAAAGTCCACCACTGTTAATTACTATTGTGGCTATTGTTTTACATCCCTAGTACTGCCATACTGATGTTTTTCCCAGTGATCAAGGAGATCAAAGAAATCTGATGTCTCACAAGGGGTTTGAACTATGGCAAAGAGAATTCTTCTTAATTCCTTGTCAGTTTTTGAACACTATCCAAATCAGATGAACAACATCTTGCTGTTCTCAATGAGACTTGTGTGCAATGGGACTGGTAGTCTCAGGAAATTCAGAACAAAGTAAAGAATTTTATGCCTTGTATATGAGTTTGACTCATGCCCAGCTTTGTAATCAATCTCCCAATTGTTCTGCAGACTTTCATGGTTTATTTTGCAGTCTCATCTCTTTTCTTGGCAACATGCACCTACTACTGTCAATATGTGCCACAGCAAGCAGTATCAGTAGAGACCATGGAATAAGCACAGACACCGAAATGTCCTGTCCTTCCTGAAATGAATTTTCTATCAGATCCCAGTCCATATAGGGCACTCGATGGTTGTTTCCACACTCCAGCCTGGCACTGTTGTAAAAAATTTGGGGTTTAAATTGATTGAATTGACACCAAACTGACAGTACACCATCTGATAGCAATCCACAGTGGTACATATCCAGGAAACTACTATGGTGTGCTTCTCTACTGTATTCATCCTGCTGCTAACATGTTGTAGAGCTGTTATAGCTTCCATGCAATTCTTGGAAGGTGCTTTTTTTGTCATCAGAAATTTTCGAGGCTGTAGAAGATAATTGCAGACTCCCATCAGAGCTTAAACCTCCCACTCAGTGCTCACAGTACAGGCCCCAAATGGTTGCTTCACACGTATATTTGCTCAATGAATGCACGTGAAAGTGGTCAAGTTCATCTTCTTCCCCTTAGATTTTCACAAGTATACTATAAAATTGGTATTTTCCCTAAGAGAAAGAGCTGATCAACTTATTTTTCTACAGATAAAATATCAGGAAGACGGAAAAGGAACATGTAAAGGCATAAAGGTAGACTGAAGATTATAGAGAACTCCAGAGAACACTGTAAAAAAACCCCTAATGAAATTTACGATTTGAGAGTATTGCCAGCAAACCCTGGGTTAGAATGGATGCAGTGACAAAGCAAACATAAGATGACTGTACCAAAATAGCTAATGTCAGGACTGTTGCATTTACAGAATGCTAATATGCTTTCCTACTGACAGTCAGGCATTAGTAACCTTTCCATAACCTTAAATGAAAAATACCACATGCAGATTAATAGTTCATACAGATGCCATAGTGGCATGTAAATCACTGAGCTTCATGCTGCAAGTCTAGAAGTAGGTTAGATAAACACCTATCAGGAATAGCAGAAATATTCACAATTCTATTTCACAGCAAATCCCTTCCATTTCTGTTTTTCTGATGGTTTAGTTTAAACCAGCTACTATCATAGCTATTGAAAATTTGCCTTTCTTATGACTCAACTTGCAAATTGCATTAGACTGGTTCAATTCTCTGCATTGTAAAAGATTCTATTTAGGATCAACAACAATGTTACATTAAACTACAAACCAGTTCTAAATATAAAATGCCTAGGACTAGATTTAAAACATTTGTTTACAAACTCCTGCAACACCAGTAGCAAGAGAAGTCTCACAATGGCTGATGATTCTTTCCAACTGTCTATCACACAAATGAGAAAAAGCACTCACACTGTGTGAGACACACCACAAATGTACAGAGGTAAGTGCTAAGGATTCTGCAGTGGACCCCACTCACATCAAGTGCATACAGGACATATCTCACTATTCTTATCAAAACTTGCTTTTAAATTGCCTTAGACACTGCTGAGTGTCCTACAGTTGCTAAAGGTAAGAACTAGTTAAAAAACCCTTCTTCATGTTCTTTATTCCTGTGTGGAACAATGCACAGTGAGTTACTTATCTTACTGCGTCGAAAAAATCTTAAAAGGGGAGGAGCAGCCCATCAGAAAGGATACACAACAGAATTCCATATCATGCACCCCATCCTTGATCTGAGATTTCAAAATTTGTACATTTGGGGTGGTACCTAGCTAATGATTTCAGTATCTGAACATAAAAGTTTAGTAACTTCATTTAATTATGTCAGAGCTGTAGTACTGCATTTCATCTGCACTCTCATTTATATCCTGATACATTGTATATCTATCTACATATATACATTAATATATGTACCCATTCTCAAATAGGTAGAGAACGTATCTTGATTAAAAGAAGAGAGACATATGGGAAGAAAATTTTCCAGGCAGAATTTGCAATTTTAAAAAATCATCATGTAGAGTTAATTTTAAAATATTTATTTCCATCTTGATTCTGGAAATAGGACTGAATCCATTAGCATGTGTACTAGAAAGTGAATAAACAGTTTCATTAAGGAGACATGTTAGCTCCAACAATGTTTATTGGGGCAAGCCTGCACTCCGGCTGCATATGGTGTACCTTTAAATAGGGCCGTTAAAATACCAAATAAAATGTCAAAGTCTGTCAGGTCTGGAGCTTTTATAAATTGTTTAGACTGGGGATAATTTGGGTTTCGTACATCACGCCTGGCCGATGCCGCGGCACGGAGGCAGAGCGGGAAGGGGCCCGGGAGAAGCGGGCCACGGGCGGGCTGGCAGCCGGGCACCGCCCGCCCAT